GGGGGACTGCGACCATACCCGAGGCCACAACATCTTGGTCTTCACATCTTTAATTAAATGGCCTTAGTTTATCTTTTAAAAATCATATTGATATATGTCTTTTCTATATCTTTAATAAATCCATCATACTTATCGAACATATATCATTTTCATTATGATGTATGAATTACTATGGGTATTTTGCTTTTATATTTAGTTCTGAAAGGCTGTTTCTAAAATTTGCCGACAATTTATTTTAATTTTTAGTCCAAAAACTTCTAAAGGTCTTAATTCTCGTTACTGCGCAAAACAATCTGTGCCATTATCTATGCCTATGGAGCCCAAGTGTTCGGGCAAGGCTACTAAAAATTCCACCTCGGAAAAGTATTTTGATATTACCCATGATTCAGATGAGGAGGATTCCTATGATTATGCAACGAATGAAAAGGAGGAAGCTCTAGCACTGGAAGAAGAAGAAACATGTGATAATCCTATCTACTTAGTTGACCAAGATTTAAATCCCTCTGAGGATCCCCCTACCTATGAAAAACTTGCTGGCCGCTCTAAATCAGCATCTGATACCCTCTGTCGCCGGAAGAAAGCTCAGCTTCCTTTTTCCTTGACTGTGAGTCATCTAACTTTACTCCTGATTATTTATTTCTTAGTGTTTACGCAACCTCTGTTTATGCCATTAATGGGCAATGCATCTACAATGGCTTACCACAAATTTTCCTGGCCACATTACTGGCAAGCTTGAGCACAATATCGGGGTCAAACTGTTAATTGTCCTTACCATTACGGCAATGTAAGTTCATTAACCATCATCTAGATGATCTTGGCCGTTGAGTGTTGGCTTGACTTACTCTTCACATTTTTGTTTAAGCGAAAGGGAAACCCTATGAGACGTATGCAGATAGGTAGATGAGCCATATAAAACGAGGTTGAGAGATAGGGCTACAAAGCTGGAAGCTAGCACAGGAGGGGAAACGCCACGTCTGCTAAATGATAAATTGGTCTTTGCCCTCAATTCTCACTGGTAAATTGTTATTCTCTTCTAGGGATGACGCCTTTTACTGACAAGCCCGCCATACTTCTTGGAATTTACCGAGCCAACGATCCAATGCTGGAAATTATATTGAATTCTATTTCAGATGATTTAAAGCTAGGTTTTGTCCACTAGGTCT